TCCTTGGCCTGTGCAGAAGGGCTCAGCTGGGTCAGCTGTAATGTGGACGAGCCGGACCAGCTCCTGCTCTGCAGTGAGATCACCTTCAGGAGCAGAGCCTGTGCCATGCTCCTCCCGACACCGGGCCCGGCGCTGCCAAGCACTGCTGCAGAGCAAGCAGGAGCGAGGGCACAGTTAATGATTACCCCTGCCACCTCGGGTCCCTGCTCCTGCCCTGCGCTGGCGGGAGGGAGCACTGGAGGCCGGGAAGCGGGATGCTGCTGCTGGCACTCCTGGTGCTGCTGGGCCCTGCCGGCTGCCCCAAGACTGAGCCCCTGAGCGGATCTGGCCAGGAGCCCCTCTTCCGCAGTGCAGATCGCTACGACTTTGCCATCGTCATCCCCGCCGGCACTGTGGAGTGCTTCTGGCAGTTTGCACACCAGAGTGGAAACTTCTTTTTCAGCTACGAGGTGAGCGTTGCAGGATGCGTCCCAGGAAGCTGTCGGTGCGGTGCAGCTGTCGATGGGGTCGGGGAATGGTTGCGCTGGATCAGTCCTGCGCAGTGGTGCTGCGGCCAGTGCTGGCTGCCTCCCGCGAAGGTGCGGCAGGTCCTGCGGTGGGCAGTCCCCTGCTGCTGTGGTCCTGTGACCAGGCTTATGGGTAGAAGCAGACCCTATGGGATGAAGACCACTTGCCGGCTGAACTCTGGACCTGCCACCCTGGCGGTGGAGGTGGCTTGCCTTGCGAGGGAAAGGCCCTTGGTTGAGACAGGAGATAGTTGTGGTCGCTTAGTTGCTTCATTTCAGGGACCATGCTTTCTTAGGCATCATCAATCCCACTTATTTTTTTAGACACCTGTTTTAAAGCCATAAAGCTGTGCTGAGAGCTCTGGACATGGTGCCCGAGCACCTAAAGCTTGCTCGCAGAGAGCTGCGGGGTGTCCCAGCGCTGCAGGGAGCTCTGCCCTTTGCTGGGCTGGCCGGAGGCTGCTGCACAAGCCCTTGGCTCTCAGCTGCAGCTGGAAGGCACACTGAAGGTCTCAGGCACAGCCCTATCTGCTTGTCCCCACGCTCCGTCCCCTTCCCACAGGGGAAACTGCAATCCTTTTATCTCCTGTTTACACTAGGCGGGTTGAAGGAGAGCCCAGGCACAACCATGCCCCGCGCTGGCAGCTTCCCCCCGGTTCTGTGCTCAGCAGAGCAGCCCCACAGGAATGTGGCACGGCCCTGGGGCTCGGCACCGCTCCACCTCCCAGCACTGCAGTGCCTGGCAGCAACGGCTGTGCCAGTGCTGGCAGCACCCACAGCATCTGATCCAGGCGGCAGGGAGCCAGAGTGGGCGCATGGGGTGGGAGACATGAGGTCTGTGCAAGTACCCGCACAGTGAGCGGGCTTTGGGAACTGCGGGGCTCGTTACCCAGGGCTGTGGGTTGTGGGTATTTGCTTTTGTATGTAGCTGGCAGCTCACTGGGGGCTGTTCTGGCCTCAGCTCACAGTAACAAAGCGGGCAGCATCCCATAGACCCCAAACCAACCCTCAGTAGAGGCAGCTCCCCCAGGGCTCCCGTGTGCTCCCATCTGTTTCCTGGGTGCAGCATCAGGCCTGTGAATGCCCCTTGGGTGTTTTCTGCCCCCAGGTCCAGCGGGCGACGGGGATCGCCAACAACAGGAACATCCTAGCCACGGCGAGCGACCCCAACGGCTTCCAGCTTGGCATTTCCCAGCACGTGCGAGGACAGATCAACTTCCTCACCAAGGAGACAGGTCCCTGCTGCCCTGGTCCCTGCCTGGCCCAGCTGCAGGCAGGAGCAGCAGCTCCAAGCCCGCCCAAACGGCCAGCGCTTCCTGGAGCGCTGATCGGCCTGACCACGTCTCCCTCCCCAACGGCGAGGATGAGAGTCGAGCAGTGGGCGCAGGTCTGCCTGGCAGTGGCCCTTCTACTCAGGGAACAATAATACCCATTTCTCTCTGCAGGTTTCTACCAGCTGTGCCTGGACAACCAGCAAAACCATTTTGGCTTCATGCAGGTGTATCTCAACTTTGGTGTCTACTATGAAGGCTTCAACCTGGAAAACAAACAGCCAGAAGAGAGGAAAGAGCTGAACGATACCCTGGAGGCTATCGGGGTGAGTGTCAAGGCAACCCTAGGGTGCTCCAATGCAGCAGGGACGGGCATGTTCCCCCACAGGAACTGAGAATGGTGTTTGCTGGTGGCTGAACTGCAGCTTAATTTAATGCTGAGCCCAGCAGGCAGCTCCAAGAGCGGCTCTGCCAGCCCCAATGCTCTGCTGCGGCCCTGCTGCCCAGCACCCACTTCTCCCACAGGTCAGCATGCAGAAGCTGCAGCTCCACATCTTCCACATGTGGCGGTTCTACAACTTTGCCCGGATGCGGAAAGGGGTTGACTCCTTCCTCCTGGAGTCCAACTACAACTATGTCAACTGGTGGTCGATGGCTCAGAGCTGTGTCATTGTCCTCTCTGGGGTGCTGCAGCTTTACTTCTTGAAGCGCCTCTTCAATGTGCAAACCACCAGCAGGCAGAAGTGCTAGCAGCGCCCGGAACCGCAGGCAGCACTGCTGCCTGCAGCACTCAGTAACCGAGCTGCCACTCTGCCCCCTCGCAAAGCAGGAGGGAAGGCTGGATCCTGCCTGGGGAGGAGCAGGGAGAGCTTCCCCCGTTCCTGCCTCTGCCTCTAGCCCTGCCTCAGCTGAAATCACCCCAACAGAAAAGTGTGATACGATCACCTGAGTTTTGTGTGCTGGATTGGTTTGTTACAGCTCTGCCTATCTCTAGTGTCCCAACGTGCCTTTTCTACCAGACACCCAATAAAGGAACTCCTGGCATGTGCTCTGGGAAGCGATTGCAGTCTGCTGCCTGCCGTCCATCCTCTGCAAGCCCGGGTGAAGCAAGTCCTGCCTGACAGGCAGCTGCCTGCCCCATCCCTCCCTCCCTGAAGCTCAGCTGTCAGCCTCTGACAGCTCACCCCTGGGCTGCAAGCTTTCCACGGGGCCTCGTGTGCCAAACCCAACCTGATGCTTCTCTCCTCTGGCATCACACCCAGGTGTGTTGCACTGCCTGAGGCAGGCAGAGCCCCACAGCAGGGCCAAGGGCTGCCCCCCTGTGCCAAGGCTCTGCACTAGACAACAAGCACTCTGGGAGAAGGAACAGGCTTTATGTGACAACAGGGGCAGGTCTGGTGTGGGCGGCTCCTCCTCGTGTTGGCAGCAGACCCCCAGGGGTGCAGGGCCACATGCTAGCGGCTCCCAGCCCCTCCACCCCGCTCTTGGTGGTCTCCCTGTGGCTCCGTGTGCTGCTGCTGCTGCACCAATGGAACAGGACAAGGTCCATTCTGCCCAGAAACGCCCAAGGTCTCTTAGGTCAGTGTGTCCTCGCTCCGCACATACTCTCCGACATCGGCCTGGTGGAACACCACGATAGCCATGGGGTCCACCTTCCGGCACTCCTGTGTGGACTTAGCAGCCACCCCAAAGCCCTGTGGGGGGACGAAGGAACGGTGAGAGAGAGTTTTCCCTGTAGCTCAGCTCTAGAAAGCGCAGGGGCTGCGCTGAGCACTCACC